GGTGTGGATCTTCCAGGTCCTGCCACCTGGGAATGTCTGAGGATTCATGTTATGGGATGTGACTGTGAGTGTGGGTATAGGAAGAGAGCATGTCTCAGTGGAAGAGATGAATGAATGAATTTGGGGTGTGTGTGTGTGTGTGTGTGTGTGTGTGTCTGTTAGCAGTCATCCTGAAGGCAGTTACCTTCTCCCACAGTGATTAACTGACATGGAAGCATATCTATGAGTGATCTGGATAGGGCAACTCTTTACTGTCTTTGTTCCAGGTACTAAACAAAACCCGTATCACATCTGTTTAGACACCAATTTGGCCTATCACTTAGGAAGAAAAATCACCAGTCTACTGGATTGAGTAGAACAATTAATTTTAGCTTTTAGCTAACATACACACACACACTCACTTTCTGTTTGCTAATTAATGAGGCCTCACAATTAGGTGATTGTAGCCCTGGACTGGGAGTCAGGACAGCTGGGTTTGAATTCCAGCATTCCACTTAAAATCTGGGGTGAACTCCTTCACCCTTGATAGGCTCATTCAGTTTTCTCATATGCCAAATTGTGGAAGATATCTTCTCACAGGGTTGATGATGATGATGATACTTAACAACAACAACAACAACAACACCAATAATAATAATATCCACTTTTAAAGTGTAAAGTCCTGAACAAATAAAAAGGGCTATTAAAACTATTATTACCAGAAGCCTAGAGATGGTGATAGATTGTCAGGTGGAAGTTGATGTCTGGCAGGAAGCAGGAGAGTGACAGAAGCAGGATGGAGATGGCAGATACAGAGGCAGCACTGCCAATTGGCAGCTAGCCCACAGCCCAATGCAACCATGCTTGATTTTGACACGTCTCCACCCATTTCTCTAAGTCCTTGGAGAAGGGGATCCAGAGCCAATATGCACACTCATTTTGCTGGAGGCAGTTGTTAGAGGTGAGTTACTTCCCACCCTTCATTTTCCAGCTCTGTCTAGTCTGGGTGTCTTGCTGAGCTGCATGGAAGGAGGAAACAGGCTCCCACCTGGGTTTCCCTTGGAAGAAAAAGCTCCATCTCCTCAGGTCTCAGCTTGCATCTTGGAACTATGACCTCGCTGCTGCTATGTCTACTCTTTTTATACCTTCCTGAGGTTTAGCTTCAATTTTTTGTTCATGACCACCTCTTCCCTGGTGTCTTTGAGCTCACCTCACTCATGCTGAGCAGCTGCTGTGTTCAAAGTTAGTATGATCCAGTTTTCAATGTACTTGTCAAGATTCATGTGTGCTGGTTCCTCTTCTCAATTCTCATCACAAATTTTAGTCTCAAGCCATTATTGAACCATTTTTTCAAAATCCCCCACCTCCCTGGCAACTTGCATGGATGAAACCTTGAATAAATAGTGAAGTACAGTTTTAGGGAAGCTAAAATCATCACAAACCCCTGAGAAGGCATGTGGCAACCATGCTATGAGAAATAATGGTGTGGTGTAAAGGGCATGGGAAGGGAGTCACCAGACTGTAACCATGTGACCTTGGGCAAATCATGGCCAGATTACCTCCCCAAACATAGTTGCAATTCACACTCCCAACAACAGCGTGTCTATTTTAGATCAGCGATTTTCAGACTGCAGCAGCATAAAGATCTATTCAAAAGCAAACTCAAAGACCTACTACTTAAATAGACTAAAGATTCCCCAGACTGTTGGATACTTCTTTGTTGGCCACCCCCTAGGAACACCTCATCACTGTCTTGGAACCACTGTCCTGCAGTTCCAAGCACACGATTTTAAAAACCTTAATTCTAGATCATACCTGGCACCTCTCACTGGTATATATTTGTTAGTTGACTGACCCCGAGTTAGAGTGCCTAGTTTGGCAGCGTGGGTGGTGGCTAGGTTTTCTTTGTGTTCCCAAACTGGTCAGGAACTGAGACGGAGAGCCCTATCTAAGCAGAGGCCCCAAAGGAGACGACCCAGTAATAGAGGCAGGAAAGCCAGGGGTCACACCAACAAAGTGTGTCCCTGCAGAAATCTGCTGTTGGGAAAATGCTCCCTGCCAATGGTCTCCAACAGCACTTCCCCTTCCCATTACTTTATTAAACATGCATTTACTAAAGGCCCACTCATGGTAGCCAAACAGTATACTCTGAACTGGCCATTCACAACACCATCACTGCCTCTAAGAACTTTGCAGGCTCTTCAGGACCAGTGGGTCAATGCCGGGGTAGTGTGGAATGATGGTAGGAACTCAGAAGAAGGCATGTAACCCAGACTTAGGGAAAGGAGAGGGGAAGATTGCTTGATTCTCATGGTTAAAACCAGAAGTACAAGTGGGAGCTTGTTAGGTGGAGATAGAGGGACAGGGCAAGAATAGTTGACAGAGAGGAAACATGTATTTCTATTTTCAAAGGTAACAGAAGAACACGGAAAGAGCCAGGGCTGAGCTGAGTGGCGTTCAAACCCCTGCTCTTCCATTCTTTATCCTAGTACATTATTTAACTCTCCTCATCTAAGAATCATACACACCCTGCAGGGCTGTGCTGAGAATTAAATGAGATAATGAATAACGAGTACTGGGCACATAGTGTACTTAGTGAACAGTATTACGTGTTGTTAAATAGTACCCATTATGCCAGTCTATAAGCTGATTAACCACAGGTTTGCCCTCATTACCTTATTCGTCTTTGTAGCCTCATTGCCTGGCCCAGAGCTTTGCATTTTGTAGGCACCCAATGAATGTTTATTAAGTGAATGTTTAATAAGTGCAAAGACATATAAATAAGTTTTCAGGATTAGAAAGCCATTTTTATATGGCTGGAACCCATCTACCTCTTTGCCCATACAGGCAGAAACATGGCTTCTCAAAACAGCACGGCAAATCTTTCCCTCACATACTCCCCAAGCATTGGCTCTCCCAACACACACCGCACGGCGGCACCCCTTCGGTGGCAGCTACTTCGACCCACATCTACTGGGGCACACACAGACAGACAGACAGACAGACAGACAGACAGGCGGCTCCTCTACAGACGCACAAATACACAAGCTGAGTTGTTAAAACAGGTTTTATTTTGTGAGGTGCACAGAGGCGGCCGTAATGTTAAATAACAATCATCTCAAATGCCCCATCCTCCTTCTTGCTCACACATACACACTCTTGAGAGACAACCTCTTTTCTCTGACCTGGGTTTTTTCTCACTTCATGGAGAGTAAATGTCCGCACACACATCTTCTCAGCTGAGACCTCATCCTTGGACTTCCACTTGCTAAACCTAACTTTGCTCCCATTAGCTGTGGACCTCAGGGAAAGCCCTGCCCCTCTGGTGCCTCAGTTCTTCACTGGTAGAACACAGAGAATTAACCATGCTTCATGCCAACCTGGTAGTTACACTGTGAGGATAAAGGAGATAACAAATGAGATAACGTCTGTGATGTGCAGAAAGCACCTCAGAAGAAAGGCACTGGATAAATATAAGGTGTAAATACCACACCTGATGAGTGTGTATGCCCCTGCCCACAGATTTCCACCCACACACTCTGCTCTTCTCTACCCTTGAACACAGACACCCTTCCTGCCTGTAAATGCTGTCTCTCATATTCATTTTCATGTGTGTACATATATATACATACTTCAGCACCTGTATTTTCCCCAGCATGCCCACAGAAAATTGTATTTGAACTTAGGTTACAAACACTCTCTAGCCCCTACCCACAGACTCTTCTCAAGGGTCTCTGGTGCTGGAAGAACTGCCAAGCATACAACTCATCTCTCTGTGGCTGGACTCCTCGGCTCGCATGATTGCAGTTAGGCTGCACTTCCAGCAGAGCAGGAGACCCTTTATCCGGCACAGCTCTTGCCAAGAGCTCTCCAGAACTCAGTGCCTCCACACTAGTTGGTCAGCACCTAAGACCCAAGACCAGGGCTGATGGTTGCAGGAGGGTGTGGATGGAATGGGAGAGGAGGGACCCAGGAAATATAGATGCTCAGATCCCTAAGCATTCTTTGTTCCTGGGGAACTGAGGGCTCTGAAGCTAAAAGTCCCAAACACTTTTCTAGGCCTGACCTACTCCTGGGCCAGCAGAACATTCATTTGCTCCACAGTTCACTCCTTTCCACTTGGAGCAGGAGGGAGAAAGATCACCTGGCCTATGGTGTTTTGATGCCTGTTGCTGCTGAGTTGT